ATCGCAATAAGCATTGTGCTTTGGTACTTTTCATATTAAACAAAGTCTCAGATTTCAAATTCTGTCCATTGTATTGCAGTATTTAAACAATAAATGCCATTTTGGCGCTGTTTAATTTATGTTTGAATAAATCCATCAGGTTTTTATGACAGCCACCATTTAAATGTTTATATTTAAAAAAAACTAATTGAAGTAGAAATATCAATATGTAACTGTAACTTTATTATTGTATAATAATAAACGTAATTAATTTTAACCTTCAATATTATAGTAATGTTGTACCAACTAACTCTCATGTATATTTTACAGCATTAGTTGAGTTTTTTTTCCTTGAGAAAATTTGGCATGTACTGTGCCTGATATATAGTCAAAATAATCGAAATGGAATCGAATTGGTAATCGAATCTCAAGCTTGTGAATGATAATCAAATCAAATTGTGAAATTTGTGTCAAAACCCAGCATTACCATGTTTTTCAGACATTGTTTTTTTGAAAGATGTGTATTTGAAGGACAACAATATACTGAAATATAGTTTTAAAAAATAAAAGTATTACAATAATTAAGTGTATTAGATCCTATGAAGGGATTTACCTATTGTTACCTACTGTAACCTATTTTGCTTATTTTGTTATTCTGAGTACATGATCAATTGTGTTTCTCCATTTATCCATGTAATTGGAATCAGACACACACACACAACACACACACACAAAAAGATAGCATTTACTAGTCTGTGTGACCTTATTGTAAAAGCGTTACTCTCTTATGGTATATATATATATATATATACACACACACACACACACAAAAAGATAGCATTTACTAGTCTGTGTGACCTTATTGTAAAAGCGTTAAATTTTTCTCTCTCTTATGGAGATGAAATGTGACCTGGACATTTTTGTGAGATTCACCTTATGAAGAGGTGCAGTTTGGGTATTGAGCAAGACCTGTTGAATTCTCCCCCATAGCTGTGGGGCTAAACAGATGTTGTGTCTTCGAGCGCGGCTGGCTGACAGGTTTTGGACTGCGTGGATCTGGTTTGGTTGATCATCTGAATGATCTGCATCAAATCTCTCCTTGTGTTTCTACCAAAGACTGCTTCAGCCACACACACATTTTTACATCCTGTATATAAACATGATCACACGGTTTGGAGAGTACGTTCACTGAAGATCCATCGTGCTAAATTTTATTTTTTTAACACAAAGTATGCAACAAGCCAGAGATGATCTCAACTGGGATCTAAAACATTAAATGTGACTGTTACATCATTTGATTTGTATGCATTCAAGCAGAATTCCTCCTCCATTCATCTGTTGTCGATTTGCATCTCTGAGAGTCCGTTATACTCGGTTCTTCTCAAAGCGGTTTGACTTGTGTGTGTAGGAGAAATAGTTCACTTAAAACAGAACATTCTCTCATTATTTACTCACCCTCGTGTTGTTTCAAACCGAATGACTTTCTTCTGTACAACACAAAAGGAGATGTTTGGAAGAATGTTCATGCTGCTCTTTAACACACATTGGAAACGGTATGGAAAGGGATGAGACGTAGTCCGCACAATTAAGTGTCATAGTCCAAGTCTTCTGAAGTCTTTATGTGTTGCATTTGAAATTGTTATTTACTAAATAAAATCTCTTAAATCTTGCTTCATTATGATCAGTTATGAGACACATGACCACTGCCATTGATATCAAAACTGCTGCACATTAACACATTATTTGAATGTGTGCAAATAAGTTTTGAGAGTTGCTGCTGATACTTCTTGGTGCTTTTTTATTCCCTTCCAATACGCTGAAAAAATCAGCAGGAACATTCTGTGCAATGTTTGTGTTACGCAGAAGAAACAGCATGACTTTGAGTTTGGACCTAATGATGACAGTTTTATTTTTAAGTGAACTATTCCTGTAGGCTACTAAGCTGTGCAGACCTTAAAACCCCGCTGCTGTTTGGAGAAAGAGACACAACCGTAACCGATTAATTTAGTGTCTTTAACAGTGTGGATCCTGCTTAACAGGGCTTAGACTTCACACTTTACAGCAGTGGCACTTTTGTAAAACATTCAAGCCTAAAGAAATAATCCAATAGCCTCGCAGGGTCTTTATTTCCAGACGTCCTGCCCACTGCTGAGAGACGCCTCTCCTCGAGCCTGTCAAACGGGCCGGTGATGTTCAGCAGAGCTTTTTTTATGTCTTATTAATCCATCTGAACACTTTTGTGTTGCTGAAACGCAAAATGAAGGATCAGACGAGGTTTTGTTGCCCCTCGGAATGATTCCTGAATGGTTTCATCATCAAACGTCTCGCAAAAAATTTACTAACAGATTTCAGTCTGAATATTATGAAAGCTCCCTTGTCTTTCCCCAGATTTCCTGCTCATGTGTTTAATATCAGAGTACATTGTCAAAGCTGTTTGTGCAATAAATGAACAGAACATGTCGGAACATTTTAGATCTTTTGTCCTCTTTTATTATTGCTAATTAAAGGGATAGTTCACCCATTTGAAAATGTGATGTTTATCTGCTTACCCCCAGGGCATCCAAGATGTAGGTGACTTTGTTTCTTCAGTAGAACACAAATGATGATTTTTAACTCCAGCCGTTGCAGTCTATCAGTCGTATAATGCATGGCAATGGTAACAAAATCTATGAGAGTAAAAAAAACATGCACAGACAAATCCAAATTAAACCCTGCGGCTCGTGACGATACATTGATGTGTAAAGACACGAAACGATCGGTCTGTGCAAGAAACTGAACAGTATTTATAT